GCTCATCAGAGCTGCATTTATTAGATTAAAAATACATGAAAACTTTAATATTCTGAAATATTATTCCAGTTAAAATGAACTGTTCCTTTTTAAATATATTTTACTTTTTTTTATTTTTTTTATATATTATTTATTCCTGTGAAGGCAAAGCTGAATTTTCAGCATCATTAGAAATCATTCTAATTACTGATTTGCTGCTCAAGAAACATTTATTATTATTATCAATGAAAACAGCTGTGCTGCTTAATATATTTGTGGAAACCGATACATCTTTAGAATTATTTGATTAATAAAATGAAAAGAACAGTATTTATATGGAATAGAATATATAATAATATAGTTGTCTTTTAATCCATATAATGCATCCTTGCTGAATAAAAAAGGCATTTCTTAAATACATACATACATACATACATAAATAGAAAAATAGAAAGATAAAATGTTCATGGGAATGCTGTTTAGTGACTAAAAAGCAAAAATGTTTAACGAATTAAACAATTTAAAAACTTCATACACCGGCACGATTTATATTTGTCTGCAAAACTAATTTCAAATATTTTATCATTAAGCCTTTAGATCAAAATTTTAAGACTTATTTTAAGATTTTAAGATCATGAGAAACATCGGTTCAGTTGTGTCTAATCATTTGAGCAGTAGTGTACAGTAACAGTACAACAGGAAGTCTTAGCAGTGAGTAGTTCTGTGAGAAAGATCTAGGTAAAGATAGATCTAGATAGACAGTGAAAAATCATCTTCATCTTCACTGATAAATCTTATTCAGCATCAGTAATCAGCCTGGTTCTCATGCTGTGAGACACCTGATTATTTGCAAGGCAGTGTGCTGCATCAGAGTGCAGTGTGACACCTGTCTGACAGGCTTCACACTGTGCAGGTGAGGTCACTGCATCTGCTGCTCGGGGTGGCGATGATACAGTTAAGCAGCTTGCAGTGCGTCCAGCCGGACTCAGAGTCTCTTGTCCTTCCATGATCCTCTGCTAATTGTACAGCATGTGCACAGAACCCATCTGCTGTCCCTGGAGTCACAGACATTACTCATCACAACAGCTGATACTACCAATGACTCCTCATACAATCAGCATAGCAGTTCAGTGGAACAATGCTGCTTTACCAATGTTCATATGCTCTTTTTTTTGTTTTCCCTGCCCCTGCATCTATGGCCTGTGCTCTCTCAGGTCCAGTGCCTGTTTTGTGTATTTCCGCAGAAGCCAGTGCTGTTTTTTGAGGTACGTGGATATTTGGAAACAGTGTGTGGAATTAATGTCCCCAACAAATTTAAAGGGATAGCTCATCCAGCAATAAAACATGTCATTATTTAATCACCCTTGAGTCACTGAATGATTTTTGAATGATTAATGAATTAAACGTCAGTCTGTTTTTCATGCAAAGCTGTTGCATGACATCATATGAGTTGAAATAGAGCACATTGTGCACATCATAAATTGAAGTTGTATGGACTACTCTTATGTTGTTGTTTTTGAGCTTGGAAACATCAGTTTCTGGTGAATGCAACAAAGAGGTGTTAAAAAAACAAAAACAAAATTGTTTTACACTGTGACATTATTTTCAGGAATGGACCTATATATATATATATACAGGTGCATCTCAATAAAAATCATCACAATTAAAAGAACCAAAGACTTAAACTACTTCAGTCTGTGTGCATTGAATTTATTTAATACACGAGTTTCACAATTTTATTTGAATTACTGAAATGAACTTTTCCACGACATTCTAATTTATTGAGATGCACCTGTATATATATATATATATATAATTATTAGCATTATTATTATTTTTTTAAGTCTGTGAGAAGGGTCCATTTAATTAAATTCTACTCCCCAGTTCTCATTACTGTAATGCTTATTCTTATTACTGACAAAATATTTATGTATACATTTTGAAGTGTTTTTTTCATCATGGTATCATTTCTTGTACTGCCTTTAATCCTTTTTAATAATAAAAAAAGGTGTATTACACTAATGAGAATTGGGGAGTAAAATGTACATACTTTTTCTAAAGCAGGGTTTCCCAAACTGGGGTTTGTGAGGGAACTGCAGGAGGCTCATTTGTTGATAAAAAGCTCATTAATAAGGCTAATTGGGCTACACAATTAATCAAAATAAAACTGAAATACAAATATATATTTTATCGAATCATGATTATCAAATTAAATGCTGCAATTTAATTAAATATGTATAAAGTCTTTGCATGTTTTAGAGTGAAGAGCAACACTGTGTTCATTTACACAGTGTTTATAGGCTCGGTTCATAGTAAATGCTGTTTAAAAAAAGTAATATCTGCAAGTTCTGTAAGTTTAATGTGCATTTGGGTATGGAATGTGCACTTGATTCACTTTATTTACATTGGCATTCGCATAATTATAAACTTTTTGTGGATAGTTTAGCCTACAGCATTTCACCAACATTCCACCAAAATAATGGCTTGAGGATTTGATATGTCAAAAACTTAAGGGTCACAGCAATAGCAATATGAGCCATTTTTATTTTTGAAATGTAATGTCATATCTATTCCCATCGCTGAGTCAGGCATTTAATATAACTCAAAATTATCGCAAAATTATACTTAAAAAAAATAAAACAATAAATAAAATAATGCCACAGTGCAAAATTGGGTTTCAGTTGGGTTGAAATGTGATTTATCGATAGGTTTTTTGAGATTCACCCTCAACCATTCACTTTGAATATATGGTAAAGAACAGCATGAACATTCAGCTAAAGTTCTCCTTATGTGTTCATCAAAAGAAAATCATTAGGGTTTGTATTAAGCCTGGGCGATAAAACGGTATCGATATTTATCGACGGTACACCTTCTTCGATATCGACAGAAAACATTTTCAATATAGTGCACGATATAGGCATGTGCTAAGAGTGACGCAGACAGCATATCGACGGTACACCTTCTTCGATAACGATATACAAAATGTTCGATATAGCGCACGATATAGGCACGTGCTATGAGAGACGCAGACAGCACACACGAACACGAACACATGCTGAATTGAGTGCTGTGCCTGCCTGTGATGAGAAGATTGTGAATAAAGAAATCATTAAAATAAACTTAAAGAAATTTAAAATAAACATTTGCATTTGAATGTTAGGTGTGCATCAGGGTGCGCGAGATGTGGCGATGATGTAAGTGTCGTTGTTGCATTTTAATGTTTTGTTAGTCTAGCCCACGAGACGCGCCATGCGTTATTCATTCAAAATATTAGAGAAATATAGAAGCTCAATGCGAAGAAGATCTTGATAAAGGTTAAAACCGAAACCAAGCCATTCACACAGAACGCATATTCAGCGCATCTTTAGACGGACAAACATGACTGCTGCACTCGCGTCTCACACAAGAGTTGTATAGAAAGCAATGCGGAGAAGATCTTGATTAGGTTAAAACCGAAACCAAGCCATTCACACAGAACGCATATTCAGCGCATCTTTAGACGGACAAACATGACTGCTGCACTCGCGTCTCACACAAGAGTTGTATAGAAAGCCATGCAAAGTTAAAAGTTTAAACTTTTAGAAAACACGTCACAAATTTGTGGAGGTTTATTCCTTTTCACTGCGTCTCATATGTTTTTAAATTCAGTCTGTGTGAATGGCGCTTCGGCTCTTTAGATTAAGCAATGCATAAATACATGATGCTGTTTTGTTCATAATTGTTTATGCAATTTACGAAATTATATTTGATTTTAGTTAATCACGAGTTAATTTAGACGTTATGCACGTTTTTATAGAGTTACTTCCTTGCATTGACAATTTAAATGTGCTGCATTATTTTACTCATTGCACCCTCCTGTGGCCTCGATAGACAAGACAAATGTTTCCTTAAGACCTATTTAATCTGCATATAAAACATTAGAAATTAGATATTTGTTTAATTTTTATTTTGTGTTTGATTGTTAAAACAAAAAATATTTGTTGTTTGCCTCAATAAATTGTGTTAATTAAAAAATACAGTGGTTAAATTTAAACATTTTTTCTATTGCTTTTTGTTTTAAAAAAGGTTATAAAAAATGTCAATAATTATCGATAACGAATGATATGAAACATTATATCGTTGATACATTTTTTAGCTATATCACCCAGCCCTAGTTTGTATCTATATGAAGGTAAGTAAATGATAACAGAATTTTCATTTTTGGGTGACCTATTGCATGAAGCTGTGTTTTGGACATCATTAAACAGTGAATTGAACTCTTTTAAACTGTTATTTTTTTATGCTTCAACTGATGATGCCTATGTTCATACGATATGCCTATTATAATACCTTTGAATTGAGAACTTTGTATGATCTCCGACTGTAATATTTTGATCATGGACTGTGGGGTGAATAGGTCAGATGTGCTTCCTAAATACCAAATTATTCACTGTATTCACTGGTTTCCTCTCTGTTCATGTAACCTACATTGTCTTGATATGATCTTGTGGTTGATTTGGATCATTTGATTTATGTTTTTCAGAGCACTATATTAGTGTGTGTGTGTGTGTGTGTGTGTATGGTGTAAGATAAGCCATTTTTTACTTATGGTCCTCAAAATAAGAGAAAATGAGGCAGAAGTAAAATGAAAGTATCTAAAGTAATTTCAGGATGTTTCCTATCATTTTAAAATACGGCTTTTATAAAAAAAAAGTGCTCAATTTACCCCAGGTTAGGGGTAAGTTGATCTGAGTCAGTGGGTAAGATGCACCATCTGGGTGTAAACTGACCATCTAACTGAATCTGTTTCAAACCCATGTGAAGTTTTAAAGAAATTAACCTCTTTTAAAAACTAATTTAATAATCAAATTTCCTTTTACAAACAGTCATATTTATTTTCTTAAAGCTAACTTAAAACAACAAAAAAACAACCAAATCAAGTTTAAATTTCAATCTTTAATTGTTTGCATTTCTGAAACATGTTGAACACCAAAGTTGTAACCTTAGCAAAAACAGTTTGTGGAGTAAAATGAAATAAAAACTGATTTAGAATCAAGGAATAAATTTCACTTAAACTAATAAACATTTTATTCAAAAGATTCATGGCATAGTAGCTTTTCTGCAATGCTGAACAGATCATTAGGGACTACACATGAAAAGATATGTGACACAAGTACAGAAGGAGAAGACTCAGAGGTAACATCAACAACAAAGTGTTTATTCACATGTATTTCAGAGAAGCAGCATGGTAAACAGGTGAGTATAAAATGCAATGAAGATAGAAAGCACTTAGCTTGAGCGTAAACAGTTTGTTGCAGGTGCTGGTGGGTGTGCGGTGAATGCTTAGTGAAGACTGGACCTGAAGTCTGACTGAAGACAGGAAAGTATCCAAGAAAGTCGCAGGGTAAGTACTCATACGTGGGGAGACAAGGCCAGACAAGGAAGAAGTGGAGAGTAACTGCTCTTATTCAGGGCTTGATGAGATCATCTATGGTAGGTGTGGTGATGGCTGACTGAGTGCAGGTGTTGACCAGAAGGGATGCTGGGAAATGTAGTTCCCAGTGGACTGAGCTAGTGACTGAGTATAGTGAATGGACTGGTGGCTAGGGACTGTGATTGAGGATAGTGGATGGACTGGTGACTGGGGATTGTGGCAGTACTCCCCCCTCCCAGAAGGTGCGACCTTGCACAAAAACAGGCCCAACTGGGGAGTAGAAGGAGGAAGAAACCAGGATAATTTGAGCCAGGGCGGAGCCAGCCGAGCAGGAAGCCAACAAGGCCGAGCAGATGGAGCTGAGCCCCTCCGACACAGAGCCAAAGACCACCATGGCAGAGCAGAAGGAACTGAAGATTCCCACGGTGGAGCAGATGACCACCAGAGCAATGTAGATGGAACTGAAGATTTCCACGATGGAGCAGGCCACCACCACTGCAGCAGAGACGGTGCCGAAGACCTCCCAGTGGAGCAGAAGACCACCAGGGCAGATCTGGAGGGACTGGAATATAAAGCACAGAGAAGTAAGCAATGGTCATAGTGGCCATGTCCGGGCAGGATGTCTGACTTGGGACCGTCTGGATGGCCGGCTGAGAGACGGGCGTCTGGAGGTAAACTGCAGTTACCAAGATTTATTTTGGTAGCTATTTTATATGTAGTCTTCAAACAAAAATAGTCTTTAATTCTTCTCACTTTAGACCAAATCAGTTAAGCTTATGAGAAATGTGAATCAAGGATTGAATTTGGAAAAACTTGAATAAATGATGACAATTTTCATTTTTGCGTGAACTATCCCTTTAACAGTAGTGAAAAGGGAGCAACTTATAAAAATTATAGTTCATATATAATATATATAATTTATCATTTTTGAAAAAGAAGCAGAATAAGACAAGACAAATACGAAAGAGATACAGATTAAACTCATTGTTCAGATACAGTAGGTTTACTTAACATATTTATTTAACATCTTATGTTGGTTAACATTAATGACGGATATGTACTTAATTAGGAATGCTGTCCCTTTAAGAAGGAAGGCATGCATGTAATACTGACACACATTCAGTTTTCATCCACCAATTTACGTTCACTTAATCCATAACCGACTGTATTTACGTGAGATACTCTACACGATAGACATTTTGACTGCTGTGTGTGTACTTGAGCACTGAGAACTGATTGTGTGCTGTATATGAGAACTGATGAAGTGGAGCGTGCGCGAGAGAGAGCACTTCTATCAGCGCGATTCCGCCTGTCCCGCCTTCACTAACCTTAAGTTAATCGACAACGAATTGTGACTCCCGGGAAAAACGGGACATCTGGTCACCTTATCCCTACCCCTTCGGGTGCTGAGGCCATTGTTTCAGATCGCTAGTTCTGAATTTTGGTAGCCTATCCGTCCACTGCGGCTGCCATATTGAGACTAGATATGCAAACACCCCTTATCCGATTGCAATCCAATGACAGGGACGCACATTTTGAAGGACAAGACAGTAGCCTATAGGATGCATTTTGAATGTCCGGTAGTCCTCAAATAACATTATAGTTCCGTCTCGTCTTGTTAATGAAGACGCGGCATAAATTTCGTCATAGTTTTTATCATCAGATTTTAGTTTTAGCTCATCAACGTCTCGTCTTAGTCACAGAAAAAATGTTCGTTAACGAATTTTTTTTGTCGTCATCTTCGTTGATGAAATTAACACTGTTCTCAAGGACAGGACTTAAATGATGAGTTATTACACAGGTACAAGCGGGCTCCGATGCCAATTTGGGGGTTAGAGTGGGCTCCCATCTAGATTTAGAGAGAGTAACGGCCTTGACACTGACTTCTGGGGCCAGAACGGGCTCGATACAGATCACTGAGTCAGGACAGACTCGATACTGAACTCTGGGAATGGAGCCATCTCTGTACTGTGCTCTTTGGTTGGAGCCGATACTGGAGTGGACACAGGGGTTGGCGCCAACACTGGAGCGGATTCTGGAGAGCATTCTGGAGCGGACTCTTTACTGAATTTGAGGGCTGGAGTGGACTTGTGACCGAACTCTGGGAATGGAGCCATCTCTGTACTTTGCTCCTTAGCTGGAGCTGACACTGGGCTGTGGTCAGGGGCTGGCCCGGTAGAGGACCGTTACTTCTTCCTCAGCTTTCACCTTTGGGCAGAGGTGAAGTGAAGCAGTGAGGTTTTAATAATCTCTGGAGTTGGCCTAGACTCTGGAGCTGGCTAATGTGTTGAAGCAGATTCTGGAGCTGGAATGGAATTATAACTGAACTGGGCTAGAGCTGGCTCAGAACTGAACCCTGGGGCTGGAACGGGTTTGTGACTGGATTCTGGGGCCAAATAGAACTCAATGGCTGGTTCAGACTCTGGAGCAGGCTTCACTGTGTCAGGTTCGGGAATTACATACTCTGTAACTTCATTTTCAGGAGCTAGCATGAGAAAATTATTTCTTGGAACAGATTTGGAGATTATACTTTTTGGATTAGATTTGGGACTGTTACTCATTGGAATGGATTCATGACTGTTGATTGGGTATGGATTCTGGACATGAGCACTGCAAAGTGGAATTCATCTTCAGAGACATCCTGATGGACATGATAGGTGGATCTGCAAGCTTTGCCACCAAGGCTGTGCTGTTTGAGATAGCCTTCCTCACCCGACGGAATATGGAAGCACTTGCTGTGACTATATTGAAAGCCGTCGCAGCAGAGACAGAAGACGTGGGGCTTACGGTTTTATCCACAGGGCAGTCAGTAACCTCGCCAACAGTGAGGGACGAGCCACTTAGCCACAGTGCATAATCAAGATAGTGCTTTAGAGAACAGGTGGTAGCTGATGCCGGTATCTGTTGATACAGATCATCGTCTTATCCACACCAGAAGATTGTCTTCAGGGTATCAGCACTCCATGGTACCCTATAGGAAATATCGAGAAATTCCTCGACATTATCCTCAATTGGACGGCCATCTTGGAAAATGGAGAGGAGCAAATTCACAGGGTTAGAGGGCAGGGTGTCCATAGTTGTTGGAATCGGTCTGGTCTTCTGACACAAGTACAGAAGGAGAAGTCTTAGAGGTAACGTCAGCAACAAAGTACACTGTAAAAAATGATTGTGATTTTAACAGTAAAAGACTGTAAAAATGCTACAGTAAAAACCTGTTAACTGGTTAACAGTAAGTTTCCATACTATATTCGGTGAATAAATGTAATTACATTTAATGTAATTTTACAGTAAAATACTGTTAAAAATTTTTGGAGGTGAAAAAGAAAAAGTCATTGTATAATTTACAGTGAAAAAACGTAAATTGACACTCCCAGAATTCCCTGCATGATGCTTCATATTTGATGTTTTTTTGTTGAAATAACGTTTTTTCTTTGTTTTTTCTTTGTTTTTTCTTATAAGTTGTGTACATTAGGGTTTAATCTTACATCTAATGTTGTCAAATGAATGTTTATTGCATTATTTCAGTATCATGTGTGTCACCGTGATGAGGTTTAGTGTTTGTGTAAATGACACTGTGCACTTTCTATATATAAGTATTGCCCTCCTCAGCTCGTAGAAAAGCTGTTTGTGATGAGCTTTGGTTCATCATGTGACTTTCTCATCACCACCAGTTTTTGGTGTTATCGGTGCATTACAATGGTTCAAAACAGATATTAACACTTCAATATGTTGGTTTATTAACATTACATCAGTTAATGAAATACGGTATTTTATTGTGAATTTAAGTTAAGTCTGTAAAACCTAAAATGTTGCTACCATATTTTTTACGGTGAAGTTCTGGCAACCACAGCTGGCCGTATTTTACCGTAAATGTCACAGATTTTTTTTTACAGTGTATTTATTCACAGGAATTTCAGAGAAGCAGCGTGGTAAACAGGTGAGTATAATTCAATGAAGATAGAAAGCACTAGTGATGTTACGCTCAACATGGAAGATCCGAAGCTTGTATAAAAAAACAACAACACATTTCACATCAAAGCACTGTATCGGAGCTTGATTCGTTTTGACAAAAGCACATGATCTATGACATTTGAAGCTTCGTTTGTCTGAAAACCATGTGCCTGCTTTAGTATCTGGTTCAAACGACGTGAACCACATTTTTTTTTTTTTCAATATCGTAATTAAATATTAAGCTCAAATGAACTTTGCCTATGAAATAACCGGACTGAGGCAGAGTTAAACTAGACAGATTGCGGATTTAATTTATGAATTTATGTTTCATTTATTTTACTTATTTTACTGCCAGTACACCGATACATTATTTATACACAATATATGACCATTATTTATATACAATAAAATAAAACAGAATCAGTTGTAGAACCAGATGTGAAACCAGCTGCTGTAATGGACCACAGCAATTTGGAAGGTGTTTTCATGACCACTAGCTGGCCACAACATAAACCGTGTTGAAAAGCTTCGAGTAATTAACCTTTTTCCGATACAATTGTGTTGAAAGCTTAACTGGTTCAGAACGATTCACTTCGCCATCACTAGAAAGCACTTGAGCATAAACAGTTCTTTGTTTGTTGCAGGTGCTGGCGGGTGTGTGGTGAAGGCTTAGTGAAGACTGGAACTGAAGACTGACTGAAGACAGGTAAGTATCCAAGGAAGTAGCCTGGTAAGTCCTCAAACGTGGGGAGACAAGACCAGACAAGGAAAAGTGGAGAGTAACTGCTATTATACAGGGCTTGATAAGATCGTCTATGGCAGGTGTGGTGATGGCTGACTGAGCGCAGGTGTTGACCAGAAGGGACGCTGGGAAATGTAGTTCCCAGTGGACTGGGCTAGTGTCTGAGGATAGTGAATGGACTGGTGACTGGGGATTGTGACAATATGATTATAATGTGATGAAAAGCATCTTCTGGTTCTTGCCCATTTGAGACTCATGATGCATTTTGCTTTGAGTGGTTTCCAGGGCGTTGCTATGTGGTTGCAATTCTATTCTATGTATTCTAGGTGGTTGCTAGGGCATTTTGGATGGTTGCTAGGTGGTCACTTACTGGCCCACTCCCAAGTGTCGATGATATTCTGGTCACTTAATCTTTCTTTTTTCTTTCAAAAATCTATTGTCCACCCGATGAAAATTGTATGTTTGATTGCTTAAGTCCTTCACCGCAAGCAGCTAAATTTTGGGTGTAATTTATTATTATTAAGTATTAGTCACGGTAATATTTTTTGCTCATTTGACTTCCAGTTCCTCACAGAAATGTCATTGAGGTGCATTATGTGTAAATGTAGAGAGTTAATCAAGATCAGGCTTCAGTGCTTCTTATTACTGTTGTAAGCCACTCAGTTCCCAGAATCTGTCACAGACTTGTCATATTATCAGTGTCCTTCTATACTTGTCTGAAAGCTTCACATTTCATGATGCAAATTACAGGCGTGAATAGAAGCAGACAGGTGTCAGTCTGACCTGTAACTGTAAAGAGAACAGATTGTGCCAGAACATAATCGAATGTGGGCCGCTGGTGGTGTGGAGAGATCAGGGTGTTACATAGCAGGTTTAATTGGGTGTCACGGCACCCTGGATCTGTCAGGTCACCTGGTTCAAGTGTCAGCTGGTGAGAAGTAGGGCAAAGATTAAGTCAAGGGGAATAAGAGTCTTAGAAGAGTCATGGCCTTATGACAGTAATATGTAATAAAGCTTATAGCTTATTTCAAGATGAAACAGCAGACTGTGTTGAAAACCTAAGCTATATCATAAGCGTCCACGTAATTGAGTTTATCTACAAATGTGGTACTTTGGGGGTTATGGGGTTATGTCTCATACAATGTTAAACTATTTCATGTAAAAGCCATTTTCTCTGTTAATTGTTCTACACTGAAAAAAATGTTTAATTCATCCAATTAAAAAAAATTAGGGTAATGATTCCCATCTATATTTTTTAACTTGAGCCAATGAAGAATAAATAACTTGCCCTAAGGGTATATATATTCAGTGTATATATTTCCTTTTTTGTGTGTGAGTTTATCAAAAAGTAGTTGATTTTGTCTGTATATTAAAAAGCAAAAGCACATGTTTTGAAATAGAACAGTTTATTGAAACTTTAGACTAAATACATAAATAAATAAATAACCTTTGCCTTTGTGTTTTATGTTGAGTATCATATTTAATACATTAGGCTTTTATGGCTCATATATTATGATGTAGGACAATATGGAGCTTAAATTCAAGGAGGAAAAAATATACAATTTACTACTTAAAAAATGCATATAAATATCAATTGTCACTCTGTATCTCCCAAAAATATGTCTTAGTAAGATTATATTTAAATGTTTAGTTTTATAAACAAAGCTCTGTATTGTATTGTATTGCAATGCAATACGATGCCAGTTCAGAGATGTATAAATAAACGTTCTTGAAAAGCCTAATGTACCATATTTGGTACCTTCATTTAACACAGTTTTTCTAAAAATGGTGTATGGATTATAAAGTAAACCTAAGGTGCTTCAGTCCAGTCAGTGTCCATCTTGAAATATTACTAACAAAATGTACTAAAAAAGTATAAACTATCAATCTGACGACAGAATGCATGTAAAAGTTTGTGTACAACAGGTTTTGATCATGCCTTAGACATTTGTGTATCAAATATGATACAGTAGGCTGTATGGGGTTCATTTTAGGCCATAACTTTTTGTGTTACATTTTAAATGTCAAAACTTTTTCAGGTTTATTCAG